TCTTAACCAATACACGTACATGCGTGTCCGCAGGTCACGGTACAGTGGTCACTATTGACAACAACTACAGTCGCTGTTAATCATTTAGTTTATTAACAAACAAGTCAACATCATTACTGGAGATTCTCACATTCATACAGTGATTGCACACATACACAATTATAGCTTACAGCGGCCTCTCTAAGCCAACAATCATCTCATCGCTCAGGGGGAGGATTCAAAAGTTACAGCAATACTTGTTTTCAGAAATCGAGTATGCCAGTTTGGGTCCAAATTAATTGATTCCTCAGAACAAATTATAACCTTCAAATACAGTGGCATGGTATAAGGTAATGATATTTTTTTTCATTTGAAAAAATGTAAAAGTGGTTAGTCCCTATATACAAGCTGAATCTTTTGTCCAACAATCAATACAAATTGATACACATGCATATGTTGCCTCCCTCGTGGGATAAAAGATTCAGGAATACTTGTCAGCCCCTCACAATTTTCCATCAGACATTCGCTCCCAGACCAGGATGTAATGACTGATTTGGAGAGATAACAGATTCTGGTCTCCTTCAACTTTGTTTTTCCCTTAATTAGAAAATATTCTTTTTCTGTCATTTTATATTAATGGTGTACTGTTTAGATAGTGGAATAAACATGGTTATATTTTATAGACAAGAACTGAATTTCTCTATACAATTCATATTTACATCATACATAAGTCAAAGGACCAAAATGAAACCAAAGAGTGAATATGACATGTGGTTAGACTTCAAAATGGCCTTCAGTTAGCCATCTTGGATTTAATATCTGAAGCTTTGCTGTGTATTCCCTAGTTTGGTGCTGTCAAAACAGCATCTCAAAATTGTTCTTCACAACCAATATATTGGTCACGGTTAGTGTACATATATATATATACATATGAGCTTATACTGTTAAAAGTTAAAAATAGTTCTTGATTTCTTCTATTCTAGTGTGTCCATATTTGCTACAGTAGTACAAAGTAAGGTTATGTGTGCTGGTCTAACCTCAACCAATAATCTACCATGGGAATGTCCTTGAACAGTTCTCACCTTGTTCTGTTTCTTTCCCATCTATCTCACCATAACAAACATAATACATTACAAGAAGCCGCGAGTAAACTACATTCCCAGATTCAGTTAACATTGGTGTGGTGTGGCTTATCTGATCACAGCAGTCTTGTTCAAGGAGTGGGTAGGCTGATTTTACAGCTGCTTCGAACATAATTTCCATCCTATAATGGATGGTAAATACCCAATGATGCAGAATATGTATTTTATCACTCTGGTGAAACCCAGGGGCAGAGGGGACTCTCAGACCAATAGATCGTGTTGCAACTCTCCACAATGGATTGTGAAACCTAAGATTGCTGGACCAGCCATATCTCTAGGAAAGCAGGTTACACATAAACCATCATCAGTATATATTTACACCAAACCCTACCCCCACCCAGTGTGCGAAATAGTTTCCAAATTTTGCTAGCTATGCCTGCAAGTTACTAGCCCAGAAAATAATCCACTAACCCGAAATTTGAATGTAGAAACTATGCCAAAGATTACAGACAGGTAAAACACCATGTCTTAGGCCACATCTTGCATGATTTAAAAGTGTATTATAACTTAACAAGTCGGAGAGAGTGATATATTTTTAAAAATTACCCCATGAAAATTCACTAGCCAGTCGGGCCAGTGACAGTGGAGATTTACTGGCCTGACAAATTTTTTTACAAGCCACAGGCTAGCGGGCCAGTGGCTATTTCGCACACTGCCGTCGCCACCACCACCACCCCATACATGATGGGCAATGTCTATTGTAGTCATATCAAACTAGCTGCTACTATCCTTCATGTATACCACTGACAACACCATACAAGACTAACTTGACGGCAACATAACATACTACAAACATTTGAAAGTTTTGTTTTCAATGATGCGAGTTACAGCACCTACATTTTAACAGTATGAACGACTTGCACAGCAAGCTGATTAAAACAGAGCCATAAAGGGGTCACCCCTGACAGAGAAACTCCTAAATAATTACAGAAATGATTGTCTTCAGGGGTCTTTTGTTCACACAGGATCATTCTGATGAACAAATTTTGCAACAGTTTTGTGCAATTTACACTTAAAAGGTCTTTTGCACCAATTTCAACTAAGGGATGTTACAACATACTAGCATATACAGACATGATCACAACCAAAACGTCAATGTCCTAATTATGGGTACTTAGTTTGGAATGGCATCATTGTGTGAACTCGGGTGGAATTGTCTCAGTACCAACACTGGCTTTTATTGCCAACTGTCCAAGGAAGAAACACATTCAGCAGGTGCTTGCTCTAAACTATAAACTCTATCATTGTGTTGTGTACAGCTGATCAATAGTGACAAATAGGAAGATACCATTGACTGGGTATGTACTTAGAAACATTTCTCCAGGCAAACACACCCAGTTGATTTCAGAAAAAAAAGTTTAATCATAAAATAAATTAAGGATTTCAATTCAGAACCTTTTTGTATTTTCATTTAGCCTTTGGAGCTGGTGTGGTAAGGACTGAAATCTATCACAATGCTTACTACAAATGAGAAATTTGCTAATATAATTAGCTATGTATGATTGAAATGTCAGAAGTCACAAATGTTTGAAGCTAGAATGTAACGAGAATAAACTTCACACACCATGTCTGGACACAAAATGTTACTTAAGAGGAAAGTTTAAAGTTGTGATCACAAAATAACTGCGTAGAAAACCAAGACTCTTGTAGCATTTTAATGAAGCATAACATTAAGGAAGTATGTTGTAAAACTTGTAGCTGACTTTACCGTACCAGAACAAGGGAGTATCATTGAAGAACTATACTGCATTAACATAACTATTGTCACTACAGGGATATCAGGTCAAAATTACCAGGAATTCTAAATTGTCAGATCTCATTGGTTGCTTGGGTACATTTTAGTATGGCATATGACATTTTGTAACAAACACAATTCAAAACAGTTACAATGTTCTACAAAAATACACATTTGTATTGCGGTTGAAATTTACAAGCACAGATTCACAGATTCACAGTTTAACCACCAGAACATCAATAAGGTGGAGGGCCTTGCAAGGCTGCAATATCTTACTCATGTTTCACATTAGTGATGGAGCATAATGGGAAAAACTTTTTTTTTCATACAAAATAAAACAAATTGAAGTTTACACACCAATAATTCATAAAACTGATAAATATACATGCTGATCCATATTGTTTCACTGTTTATAAGCTGAAACATGCTGATTACCATGGTAACATATCTACACAGACACCGATTTCCTCAAGATTAACAAGATGAGATACTTGCAGTATTAGGAATCCGATATTATCACAGGTACTAAATGTCTGAAAATCTTCACAAAGCCTATGAACAAAGCACTGAATAATTACTTAACACATTTTGGCATGACCAAGGAGGAAGAATTCAGTCACTGATACACCCACTAAAATGTCTACTTGAGCAGCATATTCACTGTTATAAGTGCCCTAATAAACCATCTTAGCACTAAGACTGTGGTAAGACTCTTAAACTGTGGTAGTCACAACAGTCGGAGTGTGACGATGATCATAAGTTTGTTATTTCTACGAGTCATAACTGTCTTTGCATTAAGACTTTTCTTAAGGAAGAAACTTATACTTATATGGGATCACTTTGTAAAAAAGCTCTCTGGCAAAATTAACAAAGGGATAGCTATTTGAAACAAACTTGGTTAAAAACAGATGAAACTAAAACATTTTTTACAAATTGTCACAAGGTTATTTTATAGCGATTCTGCACTGCCATTGTTTATGAAAACATTTACAGGTTATATACACAAGAAGATTTGACCATCTTAATTATCTAAATTTACCTTAATATGTAAATTCCTTGCAGATTGGTGTTGAAGTTGACAATGTGGTTACTAGGGCACTTAACAGGGCGAATATGGTAACTGGATGCGATATAAAGTATCTCCCTCCGATACAAGTTATGTATGATACAAAGTGTGAAGTGCACCTATTCATGTCCAAGAGCTACACAAACTTCTTTATAAAAACATTAGTATTTCCAGCACCATTTCTCCACTATGTCAGTCTCGGCTCACGGACAACTCAGAAATATGTGAGTTTAAATCCTATCAGTCGTTATTAGTACTAGAGGTGTGACGATACAGAAATTTCACGATACAATACGTATCGCGATATCTTGGAACGATTCGATTCGATTCGATGCATATCACGATATGCTTTCTTTAGTTATTTTCTTTAAAAATCATATTTTAATAGCAAGAAATTTTGACATAACCGTCAATTTCTAGTGAAAATTAACAATTTTAAGGTCAACGATACATATCACCATACGAAAAAACGTATCGATATATTTATCGTCAGAGGAAGTATCACGATTATCGATACTACGATATATCGTCACAGCTCTAGTTAGTGTGCATGAGAATACTAATCATAATCATAAATGAACAAAGGCTGGAGCTTCCCATGTCAGCCAGCCCCTGGAGGAAAAACACCCAGATGCTACAACACAGGCTCTTGGACCCAACTGCTCAAATCTAATGAGTACTAGGATTAGCAAATACAGATGGTTATTTCCTAGGTTCGCAACCAAATTACAGATCCAATATTACAAAAGCATATATGAAACGATATATTACTGTGTAATTCGTTGTTATGATGATTGTGATCACGTCCTCATGAAACCTTGATAATCCGGAAACTGTTTTTCAGACAATACATTTTGGGCAAGTGTACATATATACAAGGGATCTAACAATGATTCAGTGATCTGGGAATTATAGAACCATACCTGAAATACTGGTGTCCTGATTATAGAGGTTTCATTGTATGAACAATTGTTTGATGAAGTGTGATCCCAATGACCATTGTTTATGTTTGTCAGTAATGAAATGTATCTGTGTGACAATAGTTCATTAAAAAAAACCTACAAAAAACAAATTTTTACCTTTTAATAAAATTAATCAATATCTTTTATATGAGGCTCATATTCAGAGGAAATTGATTTCACTGGACTGAGCATCAAATCATAGATAACATTGTAATTAAATTTCCTTGCCAGAACCAATGACTTTTACATCTACGGGGTACTTAACTTGGGGGAATTTTGAAAAGAATCCAAATAAGCACCTGTTCTCTGTTGAGAAGCGAACTGATGTAGCCTGTATGCATGGATAAAGATGACTTAAGTAGCCACAGAATGAACATCACGATGCCTAATGAAATGGTTATGTTTTGAGTGAAGATGACAATGGAGACTTATACATACATGGACAAGTGATTTCAACTGTACATTTGACATATTCACAATAATGATCACAGATTTGTGTTGGCGATTCTTTAGGTTTGTCACACAACCCCATTACCCCGCAAATGAAGCTTTTTTCATCACGAGAAACAACTATGTTTCAATTATGTCTGCTTAACGCTTGCGAAGAGTTTGTGAGATTTTGGAGAAACCCATGACACTGGGATAGGTGGTGACATGATCAAAATCTGCTGATTCACACCTACAATCATCAGCTCCTGGCATTGGTAGGGGACACAACTCTGTAGCTTAGACAACCAGTGAACAAGCATGTTCTGTATTTATATTAGGTATGCACCTTATTTGCAAGTGTCAGATGTACTTAGTGTTTGTACATGGATAAATATTTGTCTTATTTCAAATAAAATATCTCTGACTCTGATGATTCATGGTTCCTGCGAGCACAGGTGATTCAGTGAGAGAGAGGACAAGAAAATCCTGAGTTTCCATCAATTAGGTCGCCAATATATCTTAACATTGCATAAAACTGGAATTTTATATGGGAACAGATTTAACTAAGTCACATAAAATACTTTAATTCAAACACCTGTACTGAAAAAAGCTTCACTTGCAGAATGGACGAAGTTGAGACAGTCCTCCCAGAGGACATGACAGTCCTCACACATGGTCCTCATACAGTCCTGTGTGAGGGTTGTTAACTTGGGGGTGAGACTGGGCAGTTACTCTAACCATCAGCATTTTGGATCCAATTGGAGCACCAGACATCAAATATTACTACAGGATTAGAACCGAGACCTATGTGAAACATGGAAACACATGCTCTACTGCGCTATGTGACAACCTTCATTATAAATGATGGACAAATGGTTCAATGAGCATAATTCTTCAGGTCGAATGACAAATTGTACATCTGGGTTTGAAGTCAGTTCCCATGATAGGCTCTGGTGTCTTATGACTTCACCTCACAGAAAGGGAACTTAGCACTAACATGTCAAATTTCAATCAAACAGTGAGGTATGGTAGCAAATGTTTTGACTCGGAGTTCTGTAGACCAAATCAATTTTAGTCACATAGCTATCAAGCATAGTTTTAAAGGATTGGACTCACATCTCTTAAAGTCAAAGATCCTGGCTTCAATCCTGTAGCTTTCTGGGTCACGCTCCACAAAGGAATCAGTCACAACTCCCAGACTCCAAAACAGAGTTACAGAGAGCTACGATCCAGGGTACAGCTCAACAAAGCTAACTCAGCTGTAAATCTGTGTTAAAGTAAGGAAGTACAGATGGTCTCTGCGGTAAGATCACTTGTGAGGACAAGCTGGTGCTGGGTGTAACTGCCTACTCCCACCCCACAGTGATGCAGGACCTACATCCAACAGGGAGCTATTTACATGACATTCACATATATACATCAGTTATTTATAAACATGGACAGCGACACACAAAGGCCTCTCTATGCAGGACTCTCCACCACAAAATATTTACATACAATGGAACAATTTCAGACACCTCTCTATTCATAAATCACTGGAATGAAGCGAACTCCAATTACTTACGCTAGGTCTTGATCTGGAAGTACAGACCCTTTTTAATGAAAACCTTATTTACCGGACGGTGACTGTTTCAAACGACTGTCTATATATACGCATTCAAGTTGGGGTAAAACGATCTTAGCGCTGAGACTAAAATCACTTTAGGCAGCAATGACCACTACTCAGTTAGTCACTGAACAATCTGGAAATTGATTTCTAGGAAAGCAATCACAAGGAACAATCTCTTCTGGATTAACAGGGTCATTCTAACATGAGGGTATGTTAATCATGTTGTCATTGTAACCTACGTCAGTGACACACAGCTACAAAACAACTGCTGTAACCGACATTTGTACATTACTAAGGTTGGTTGGCTTGCTGTATACGACGCCGCCCTCAGCAACTTCCTCCTACAATGATGATGTATAGCAGGAGTGTGCTGGTGGCTATATCATTCTAGGTTTTGTGAATATAGGACTGCCAGTATTTGAGACTCTGCCTGGTGGGCAGTAACTCCTCATGTAACATGTAGGCGGTCGTCACATACAACCTTTACACAATGCAGTGGTTCTGTTACGTATATCAGTCATATTGAAACATAATGCAGGTTTCTTATCAACAATATATGGTAAGAATTTGTGTCTTAGAGGGGGAGTTCCTGTGGAGGGGGATCCTGCAGACAGGCCTTATCTGATTCTAGGCATCCGGGGCAGGTGCTGGATGGTGCTTGCGTTGGCGGGGTCGGTCCCCTCTTATATGCTCAACACTCTGTTTTCTTGTATTTCCTGCAAACAAAACATCTCAATGTTATTCTCGGCATGGGGAAGTGTTGATGAGGGTAGATGGAAAGGGAAGTGAGTGAGTTTAGATTTACTCCACTTTTAGCAATATTCCAGCAATATCATGGCGGGGGACACCAGAAATGGCTTCACACATTGTACCCATGTGTTGAATTGAACCCAGGTCTTCAGCGTGATGAGAAAACGCTTTAACCACTAGGCTACCTCACCGTCCCGTGGACAGGGAAGGTTACACGAGCGAAGATATACACAGTAACTGAGTGAAGATATACACAGTAACTGAGTGAAGATATACACAGTAACTGAGTGAAGATATACACAGTAACTGAGTGAAGATATACACAGTAACTGAGCGAAGATATACACAGTAACTGAGTGAGATGTATTAAATGTTGCTTTGAAAACTAATCCAGTTATATCGCAGTAAAATATACTTGTTGGAGTAAGGTCATCGTCCAATTTCCAGATTTATCATTTTCAACATGTTGGCAGATGGACAAATTACAACAGTAGTAACTGTAGTAGTAATATTCCCTGAGCACCAATCGTGATCGGCGGATGTCATTCATGAACAAGCTGAACGAGGGTTACAGAAAAATGGGAGAGGTGAAAGATGGCCGAGTGAGCGTTGGCTGCTTTACATTATTCCAGTAAAATCACGGAACATCAGCTTAACATGAGGTGGAAAGCCTGACGTGATGCAGCCCTCAGATGTTTACCCCTATTGTGGGGGTAGACAAACCCGACGTGATGCAGCCCTCAGATGTTTACCCCTATTGTGGGGGTAGACAAACAAAGAAGTACAATAGGGCAAAGCAGGATTCGCACCCATGAACCTAGGTTTCTGGTATGCGGACACAACTCACATATGACATTAATGTAAACCAACCAAGAAGTGAGTTAAATGAATGAGCTAACAGTTAATGTTGCATCAGCTTTATTTCAGCCACAAAGCAACCCACCATCAACACTCACCATTTGATATTAAAGTCCTGCCTACAATCCAGACACACCGTATGATATTAAAGTCCTGCCTACTATCCAGGCTCACCATATGATATTAAAGTCCTGCCTACTATCCAGGCTCACCATATGATATTTAAGTCCTGCCTACTATCCAGGCTCACCATATGATATTAAAGTCCTGCCTACTATCCAGGCTCACCATATGATATTAAAGTGCTGCCTACTATCCAGACTCACCGTATGATATTAAAGTCCTGCCTACTATCCAGGCTCACCATATGATATTAAAGTGCTGCCTACTATCCAGGCTCACCATATGATATTAAAGTCCTGCCTACTATCCAGGCTCACCATATGATATTAAAGTCCTGCCTACAATCCAGGCTCACCGTATGATATTAAAGTGCTGCCTACTATCCAGACTCACCGTATGATATTAAAAGTCCTGCCTACAATCCAGACTCACCGTATGATATTAAAGTCCTGCCTACAATCCAGACTCACCGTATGATATTAAAGTCCTGCCTACAATCCAGACTCACCGTATGATATTAAAGTGCCGCCTACTATCCAGACTCACCGTATGATATTAAAGTCCTGCCTACTATCCAGGCACACCATATGATATTAAAGTGCTGCCTACTATCCAGGCTCACCATATGATATTAAAGTCCTGCCTACTATCCAGGCTCACCATATGATATTAAAGTCCTGCCTACAATCCAGGCTCACCGTATGATATTAAAGTGCTGCCTACTATCCAGACTCACCGTTTGATATTAAAAGTCCTGCCTACAATCCAGACTCACCGTATGATATTAAAGTCCTGCCTACAATCCAGACTCACCGTATGATATTAAAGTCCTGCCTACAATCCAGACTCACCGTATGATATTAAAGTCCTGCCTACTATCCAGGCTCACCATGATATTAAAGTCCTGCCTACTATCCAGACTCACCATGATGATATAAAGTCCTGCCTACAATCCAGACTCACCATATGATATTAAAGTCCTGCCTACTATCCAGGCTCACCATATGATATTAAAGTCCTGCCTACTATCCAGACTCACCGTATGATATTAAAGTCCTGCCTACAATCCAGACTCACCGTATGATATTAAAGTCCTGCCTACAATCCAGACTCACCATATGATATTAAAGTCCTGCCTACAATCCAGGCTCACCGTATGATATTAAAGTGCTGCCTACTATCCAGACTCACCGTATGATATTAAAAGTCCTGCCTACAATCCAGACTCACCGTATGATATTAAAGTCCTGCCTACAATCCAGACTCACCGTATGATATTAAAGTCCTGCCTACAATCCAGACTCACCATTATGATATTAAAGTGCATACTATCCAGACTCACCGTTATGATATTAAAGTCCTGCCTACTATCCAGGCACACCATATGATATTAAAGTGCTGCCTACTATCCAGGCTCACCATATGATATTAAAGTCCTGCCTACTATCCAGGCTCACCATATGATATTAAAGTCCTGCCTACAATCCAGGCTCACCGTATGATATTAAAGTGCTGCCTACTATCCAGACTCACCGTATGATATTAAAGTCCTGCCTACAATCCAGACTCACCGTATGATATTAAAGTCCTGCCTACAATCCAGACTCACCGTATGATATTAAAGTCCTGCCTACAATCCAGACTCACCGTATGATATTAAAGTCCTGCCTACTATCCAGGCTCACCATGATATTAAAGTCCTGCCTACTATCCAGGCTCACCATGATATTAAAGTCCTGCCTACAATCCAGACTCACCATATGATATTAAAGTCCTGCCTACAATCCAGGCTCACCATGATATTAAAGTCCTGCCTACTATCCAGACTCACCGTATGATATTAAAGTCCTGCCTACAATCCAGACTCACCGTATGATATTAAAGTGCTGCCTACTATCCAGGGTCACCATGATATTAAAGTCCTGCCTACTATCCAGACTCACCGTATGATATTAAAGTCCTGCCTACAATCCAGACTCACCGTATGATATTAAAGTGCCGCCTACTATCCAGACACACCGTATGATATTAAAGTGCCACCTACTATCCAGACTCACCATGATATTAAAGTGCTGCCCACTATCCAGACTCATCATATGATATTAAAGTCCTGCCTACTATCCAGACTCACCGTATGATATTAAAGTGCCGCCTACTATCCAGACTCACCATGATATTAAAGTGCTGCCCACTATCCAGACTCACCGTATAATATTAAAGTGCTGCCTACTATCCAGACTCACCATATGATATTAAAGTGCTGCCTACTATCCAGACACACCGTATAATATTAAAGTGCTGCCTACTATCCAGACTCACCATATGATATGAAAGTGCTGCCTACTATCCAGACTCACCCGTAAGATATTATAATACTATCCAAACTCACCGTATGATATTAAAGTGCTGCCTACTATCCAGACTCACCGTATGATATTATAGTGCGGCCTACTATCCAGACTCACCGTATGATATTAAAGTCCTTCCTACTATCCAGACTCACCGTATGATATCAAAGTGCTGCCCATTGCTATTCCTGACTGACCACAAGGAGCGTATTCTTCACAGCCTGTAGGCAGCTGGACGATGACCGTCAAGATGGCTGCTTTGGCGTTGTGAAGAGGTTCGAGGGCTACAGCTGCTGGCTTGCCACCGCCCTGTATACAGCACACGAACATGGTACAACACGGACAAATATACATCATCATGTTATCAAAAGAATCCCACAAGAATAAAGAGCGTGAACTCGTATCTAAAGTAGCCTCAAGGTATGATTGGCTGAGATGAAATCTATTCCTTTATCCATCATTTTTTATCTAGCCTATATATATAAAATATTGTACATGTGTCTTGAATATGAGGTATGTTGTTATTGATTTAATACTTCTAATGTCATTAATATCAGGTGAAACAAGTAAGAATATTGGAATGTTCCCAACACAAACTCATGTGCTAGTTATCCAATTCCCAGAATGCACCATGGCACAACTCACCCGCTTCCTCTTCCGCAGCTCCATCACCTCTTTATGATCCTTCTTATCTGTCTCTGTCTTGTGGTCCACATCAACAGTGACTGTGGCAAACGGGCGACTGGCCATCTGCTGCATCTCCACTATCATTTGCTGAAAACGCAGAACAATGAGCGAGTGAGTGAGTGTGTGAGGTTTAAAGCCACCTTGAACTATATTGAAGTTATCCTCGGATGACTGGACCCTGTCTACTCTGGTTGTTAATGTGTTTAGATATGTTGGTTTAAGACAGTCATTATTCCGGATTGTAACAATAGAAGACTTTTCACCTGTCGTCTTCTATAGCTGTCGTATTTATGTTTGATCTTCCACAGCGCCGCAGCGATAAGCAACAGGGACAGGAAGCAGCTGAAACACACGGCAGTACAATGTAAGGTGAAGGGAAACTGGCTTTAGAGGTACAGTACGTTGACTGTTTATCTAATACTTCTATCAGTCCTAAAACCAAAAATGACGGTGAAATCACAAGCACTGTTCTGACTAAACTTCAGTCATGTTTTTTTTTATTAGAGGCAAACTGACAAGAGAAAGTTCCTACACGTTTACACACTCCTGCATCAACATACAACTGCATCAACATGATTACAAACATCAATGCCCACCTCGTATCCTAGTTTTTGATGGAGACGTACCTGAAGAATGTGACGAAGAAGTGGACCAGGTCGATCTTGGGGAACTGAGAAAAGGAGATCTGAAACCAAGGGAGGTAATTAGTGATGCCGTGCCCTCACCACAATGGGCGCAAAAGGAGCTTACCTGTGGTCTAACTTACCCTTAAACCACAACCACCACCATGAACACACATCAACTACAGTCACATCTAACATTGAGTCTACAGTGTGTCCACAAGCTGGCATGGTGAAACACTGGCTCCTTCGGTAATTCAGCTGATGAACCAGTCAAATACCCTGTCACTGGCATTATACCAGGCCCGTATCCAGATCTCTTCCATTGTATGAGGGTCATGGTTTGCGTGGTTACTGGTCAGTAAGATTTCTGCTTTTAGTTAGTTGTCAGTAATAAATATAGCCACTTAAATTAGTAAGTGTAGTTTCATCCGCTTTTAGCAATATTCCAGCAACATCACGGTGGGGGGACACCAGGAATGGGTTTTAATACAATGTACCCATGTGGGGAATCAAACATGGGTGTTCGGCATGATGAGAAACGCTTTAACCACTAGGCTACCCCACCAACCCAACCACATAACAATGAGTTAGTTTTATGCTGCACTCAGCAATATTCCAGCTATATGGCGGCGGTCTGTAAATAATTGAATCTGGACCAGACAATCCACTGATCAACAGCATGAGCATCGATCTACGCAATTGGGAACCGATGGCATGTGTCAACCAAGTCAGAGAGCCTGACCACTCGATCCCTCTTACGACAAGCAAGGGTTACTGAAGATCAATATTCTAACCCGCATCTTCACGGGTCCCAACCACATATGAAAGGTGAGGTGAGGTGAAATTGGGTTTTACGTCGTGCTCGAGAATATTTTTCGCTCATATGACGACGTGCATGCGTGTGTAGGTGTATGTGCGGCAGCTTGTACTAGCCCAGAGTTAAGCTGGTTTTATAGTGCTAGCCCACTGAGATACCATGCCGCAGTGAAGCATGAATAACCCACTCAGACACATTATACTGACTCTGAGCCGACCAGTCCTTGTTGTACCAGCGACCTTCCGCTCTCCGGGCGGACGCTCTAACCACTACACCACGGAGGCGGTCTTGTATGACTAGAGATAAGCAGGAGACAAGCAAGCGGCAGTACCTGGAGCAGGAATGGTGTCTTGAAGTCGTACACGTACACCAGGAATGTGGTGTTTTCTTCGCCTGCGAATGGGTAATCCTTGTGTTCAAACTTGCTGCGGTAGTATGTGCACTCTCGCTGATACACAATAGTCCGCCCTTCTGGGATAGACTCTGCAATAGGACAAATGTTGTTATATTCTAGATGACTTTTTGGTACAGACATTTTAGCCAAACCCAACAGCTGGAATGGGTATCTTTAATCATATTTATGTGTCAGTGCCCTAACACAGCACCAGGCAGGGTAACAAGGGGTATTGCATCTTTTGGAAAAACCCAGCCACGGATCTAACAACCAATCGCTAAATACAAATTATGCACAAAGCGCAGACATCATATATATCCCCCAGCTTAACCCAAGCTGCCTAGAAGGTAAACAGTCATTAGACCATCTTGTTCACTAGTGGGTGAATAGACGCAATTTGGAACAAACTCACTTGCCTAGTGTGAGACCACATGTATCACCTGTGCTTTGTTGTGGGGCAGGACTGAAGTCCTAGAAACCTTTCAGGCGTCGAACTGCCAAACACAGTCACCCACCCGTGACCAGTGATGCCTAATTCAACTGATTTGTGAGCTAGGCTCCATGCACAAGACCACACTACCACTTGAGATCTGTTCATCACCTGTAATCCCCCTGAGACCAGTTCTACTGGTGTTGAGTCTCAGAGTTACCCAAGTATCCAAAGACAACCTTACTACAGAATGAAACTTACTGGACTTGAAGGTAATGTTGAGCAGGGCATCCCCAGAGCAGTTCAGCGTGAAGTCCACGTCTTTGTCGCTCTGCAACAGCAATACACATGGCTTGTACAAAGCTTGCCATCAAAGTCAATGTCAGTAACATTATGTCCAATACCTTATACAAAAAATTTACCTCAATCTGCTTCAGCTTGGATAATTGTCCAGCATTAATTTCATTCACAGCGCTGTGATTGGAGGTGATGTGAAAAGGATTTCAACATTTTGTCCAACAATACAGCATTTGCATAGCATAGTTCAGGGATTGAAAAATGTTTGGTCATTATAGTCATATATTGATGCACTCTGACGTTCTACTGGGTGTGACATCATTTTGACCATGACGAACCTTATTTCAGGTGTATCACAGCCAGCTGGCTTGACACGGGAGAGACGCGCATGTGAAACAGGTCTGACTTATCCCCCTTGGCGGAACCCTCAGGTGAAGAAACAGGAGTGTAATGAAGGGGGATCTAAGACTGGAACCCACAATCAGTGGATCCTTGATGGCAAAGGGACATAACTCAACATGATGAACTGCACGACTGGGCTAGCCATGCTTCTCTTGTGAGTAGAGTTTTGGGAGAAGTGCATATTCATTCCAGCAGAGGGCACTGGATGTGTGAAAGGTGACTCACAGACTTGGGGATGTTCATGAAGTTGATGTGAGTGTAGTTCTTGTCATCTGGCTTGGACAGGTTAAAGGTGAACTGGTAGTCCGTCACGAGCTGGTCTGGAAGTTCATAATTTACAGGGTACTCAGTGACCACTGAAACAGTCTACGTAACAATTTGTTTTCTTGAATTACCAATGCATGCGATTATGATCCTGAACAAACCCTTTGTCTCTTCAAAAACTTTCAACAGAGACTTCAAAATTCACACTGCCTAAACTGATTGTTATAAGTTACATGTGGGACAACTTCATCTTTTCCATGAAAACGTTTTACAACAAATATAACAATTCAACTGATTATATAATTTGGATTAACAAAATATGCCTTCACTGACAACCTCTGACTTGAGTCTGGCAAAGCCTGGAGGACAGCTTGGCAGATGGATTTGTTAGTGCTTGTGTACTTACAGTAGCAGGTTCCCGACTTGGGGTCGCCGTAGTACTTGTGGGTGTCGTCACAGCTGTCAACACATAACACTAGAGTCAGGTACCCAGCAGATAACACACTACAGGTCTACCCCTGGTGGGTCACAAGTACATATCATCTCACAGATAACACACTCGTGTCTACCCCCGGGTGGGTCACAAGTACATATCATCTCACAGATTACACAGACATTATGGATAATGAAAACTAATATATTTGTTAAACCAAAAATACATTAGTAATAATTTCCATGTTTAAACTATTCATAACAACTTTAACAAATCTGAAAACGTGTGAAGGGAGACAATTCTCTACTGTCCCCGTTCCATCTAGGTTCAGATGTATTGAATGACAAATGAATAAACAAAATATTTCTCCATGACATCTGATTATATAACCACACAAAACTGTTTCCTGATTGGCTGGTCAGTTGACATTGGGGATACCTGTCAACATGTGTCAACCGAGTCAGCGAGTCTGACCACCCAATCCCATTAGTCGCCTCTTACAACAAGCATGGCTTACTGAAGATCAATTCTAACCCGGATCTTCACGGGACGACATAAGAATAAATGAAATATCATGTAAATTTCTTTGATAATGAAACAATTCTTGTTGTGAAACATAGAAGAAACTGTGGGCCACATCCAGACTACTGTTTCCTGATTGGCTGGTCAGTTGACCAATCGGACAGTGAAGATGAGAAATGGTCACCTACCTGTCACACTTCTCCCCGGTCACACCCTTCGTCCGGCAGTAGCAGGCACCGGTGTAGGGGGAGCAGCTGTCTGCCTGGCCATTGCACTCACACGCTGCAGGAGGAAACAAACAGCAGGTAGTTAGTGAGGAAATACTGTTGATGTGCTTCAAGCACATCATCGCCCACAAGTGCAAGGATCACCGTGATATTATATTCTTTCTTCTCACTGAGCATTAGCCGGCTTCGTACTAATTGACTAGTTCACTTCTATTGATTTTATTGTTTGCACAATGTGCCAGAGTTACTATTGCTCCTAAAATGTCAGAGGTAATTACAGATGACGCCATGTATGTCCATGACGTCTCACAGAGCTGATGTCGCCAGTTGTGAGCAGGAAAGCCAGATTTTGTTACATTTTTCTCAGAAAAACAACTGTGGTTAAATTACAGTATAACCTAGACACAACTTGGAATTACCATGGTATGTTCTGAGAACATGGATTTTCCTGTCATCTGTATAGGCTATTCTCTTATTGGGTACAGGGTTATGTCCTTTGTAAACCACAGTCCCTGCTGGAACTGTCCAGCCTCGTGCTTTCACATTGTTTCACTGTACTTGACTGTGATTTAAATAATAACCAGGAGCCAAGTATGAAATGATAACATCAAGCAACTGTAGAACATTAATCTACAAGTATGTTATATTCCACCACAACTTCAGTTCACACTCACCTTTACAGTCTCCGCCATTCTTGGTGTTCCCGAAGTAGCCATCCTGGCACCTCTCACAGTGTAAGCCTGAAACATCAACAAGTCAGTAGCCTGTCATGTCGTCACATGAACAAATGGGGGAAGCTGTTTCTAAGCTCATCATGATTTTGGGGTGCACGCTGGCGTGATACTTGAAGTGGACATTGGGTGGGTACTGGTGTGGTCGCTGGGGTGGGAATTGGGTGAGTGAGTTGATTGTAGCACCATCATGAAACATTAGTACCATCATATCATGGAGGAGGCAAGCATCATCTATCCATGTACCAAAAAGGGAGGTTGTGGCTTTTGAAATCAACTTGCCAATCTAGTCACAGCCCTTCTATTTGTTTGCTTGTTGTTTAACATCGCAATTGGCAATATTCCAGCTATAAGGCAGCAGTCTGTAAATAATCAAGTCTGGACCAGACCATCCAGTGATCAACAGCATGCATATTCATCTACACAACTGAGATACGATGACAATGTCAAGTCAGTGAGCCTGACCACCTGACCCTGTTAGTCGCCTGTTACGACAAGCATGGGTTACTGAAGACCCATCCTAACTCGGATCTTCATGGTTAACGGGCCTTCTACATTATAGCACCTACATCTGTGAAGCATTCTTCTATAAAGCGATGAATATACAAAATTGTCACGCAAAGGGAAGGTGACACTGCACAGTGAACATACTGCCCAAAGAGATGACGTAGACCCATGTTATTACCTGTAGTCAGATTCTTGCACTCGTCACAGGTGCTGCTTTCATTGAGACAGGTGCTGTGGCCATTACACTGGCACTCTGCAAGTAGAACACATAACCAGTCACATACTTCTCACTGCTGCACACGTATCAGACTGTCACAGGTAATTCTCAATATAAGCAGCAAAACACATTTATTCAGTCAAACACAATTACTTGCACAGCCAACACTTCAGGCACAGTCAGGCACACTTATATGGACAGTCAAACTTCTTACTCAGACAGTCAAACACACGATTAGACAGACAAACACACTTACTTGAACAGCCAAACAGTCAAACACACTCACTCGGACAGTCAAACACACTCGCTCGGACAGTCAAACACACTCGCTTGGACAGTCAAACACACTTACTTGGATGGTCAAACACACACGGAAAGTCAAACATACTCACTTGGACAGTCAAACACACTTACTTGGACGGTCAAACACACTCGCTCGGACAGTCAAACACACTTGCTCGGACAGTCAAACACTTGGGACGGTCAAACACACTTACTTGGACGGTCAAACACACTTACTTGGACGGTCAAACACACTTACTTGGACAGTCAAATACACTCACTTGGACGGTCAAACATACTCACTTGGACGGTCAAACACACTCACTTGGACGGTCAAACACACTTACTTGGACGGTCAAACACACATTGGACAGTCAAACACACACTTGCACTCGGACAGTGAAACACACTAACTGACGTGGGATATATTGACTCCTCAAATACACTCACTTGGGCGGGTCAAACACACTCTTGGACGGTCAAACACACTTACTTGGATGGTCAAATACACTCACTTGGACAGTCAAATACACTCACTTGGGCGGTCAAACACACTCCGCTTGGGCGGTCAAACACACACTTGCCCAGACTGGACAGTCAAACACACTCACTTTAGACGGTCAAACACGGTCAAACACACTACTTGGACAGTCAAATACACTCACTTGGGCGGTCAAACACACTTACTTGGACAGTCAAATACACTCACTTGGACAGTCAAACACACTCACTTGGACGGTCAAACACACTTACTTGGACGGTCAAATACACTCACTTGGATGGTCAAACTTGGACAGTCAAACACACTCACTTGGATGGTCAAATACACTCACTTGGGACGGTCAAACACACTTACTTGGGCGGTCAAACACACTCACTTGGACGGTCAAAGGTCAAACACACTTACTTGGACAGTCAAATACACTCACTTGGACGGTCAAACATACTCGCGGGCGGTCAAACACACTCCTTGGGCCGGTCAAACACACTTACTTGACGGTCAAACACACTTCGCTTGGACGGTCAAACACACTTGGGCGGTCAAACACACTTACTTGGGCGGTCAAACACACTTACTTGGACAGTCAAATACACTCCTTCTCCCCACTTGGACAGTCAAACACACTCACTTGGGCGGTCAAACACACTTACTTGGGCGGTCAAATACGCACTCGCTTGGGCGGTCAAACACACTTACTTGGACAGTCAAATACACTCCGGACTTGGACAGTCAAATACACTCACTTGGGCGGTCAAATACACTCACTTGGGCCGGTCAAACACACTTACTTGGGCCGGTCAAATACACTCCGCTTGGGCGGTCAAACACACACTTACTTGGACAGTCAAATACACTCACTTGGACGGTCAAACACACTTACTTGGACGGTCAAACACACACTGGACTGTCAAATACACTCACTTGGACAGTCAAACACACTCACTTGGACAGTCAAACACACTTACTTGGACGGTCAAACACACTTACTTGGACAGTCAAACACACTCACTTGGACGGTCAAACACACTTACTTGGACAGTCAAACACACTCACTTGGACAGTCAAACACACTTACTTGGACAGTCAAATACACTCACTTGGACGGTCAAACATACTCACTTGGACGGTCAAACACACTTACTTGGACAGTCAAATACACTCACTTGGACGGTCAAACACACTTACTTGGACGGTCAAACACACTTACTTGGACAGTCCGTAAAGAACCACTGCTCCCTGGGGCACTGTCCCAGATCGATAGCGTGGTCGGTGTGATTGGTGACCGGTCCCTGGCGTCCGCCCTCCATACACTTGCCGCGGCCAGTGTTGCTGGGGTCGTTACACCAGCCGCACATGGGGTGGGCCTGGCACTCCTCACACGAGTTGAGGCCGGTACACATGGTGGCTGCAGGAACAAGTATGGCAACAATCACCTTATTGAAATCTCAATTCCAGTTGTTGATTGTTGCAGTTATTTGTTGGGGCCACACTAACATTCAACCTAAATGATGGTAGACAGTAAATAATACCTGACAATCCAGTGATCGATATTGTGAGGAACTATCCTTTTCCAAGAGTAAGATGACATTCCATAAACCATTTCAGTCAAATTTCATAATCAATACAGTGAAATAATATTCAATGCAACATTAAACCCCATGTCATCTCACAAAACCTAACAGCTATCAAACTTTCTCACACATTAATTGTTTGATTGTCATTATAGAAGTTGGTGAGTTAATAATGAAGCATACAACTTTATGGAAACCAACTTCTTGTCTATTGCATAGAGCGATGTTTAGGAGTAGATCTTCAAGAAGTTGTCACGCATAGAGTTGTATGCTTCATTATTCTCAGACATTTACCACTTTAACTTCTTTGAGTGGCTTTCAGAAGTTGGAACTTTCAGAACTTTTTCCCCATTAATCCTTCCCGAGATAATTCTTCTTGTGTAACAATTACCTGTTTGTGTAAACATCCTCCAACCTTGTACGTCAACCTCATTAAATGTATAAACATCAATCAACTTACTGTTCAAACTCCACCATGTATATCCCGGCAGTATTGTACATCACTTAATTGATAACAGTGTTAGCAGCTAAACGGAAACTTCGCTCATATCAATATTAAAGAAGTTGTATATCCACAGAACTCTCCCCATTGTTCATTTACCAGTTTGTGTAACCCACGAGTATAGATATGGCAGAACCTGGAAACAATCAGGTCAAAATGGGATTTGGACCTAGTTTCTGGCACCAAGATCATCGAGTCGTACTGACCGGGACATTTGTTCTCCTTGGTGGTCCACTCCGTGCACTGGCCGTAGGGGAAGGAGGCGACGTACGAGTTGGTCTCCACACACTGCTGCATGTTGCTGCACCACATGCAGTTGTTCTTGGTGCAGTTGCTGCACGTCTTGCGCTCCGAGCAGGGATGGGGCATTGGGGACGGTTGACCTTGGCAATCTTGTCACCTGGTGGAAGAATATGACAGCATCACAAACTGAAACAATACAAGCTAATGCAGTATCAACTGGGGCAGTGGGGTAGCCTAGTGGTTAAAGTGTTCACTTGTCATGCCGAACACCCGGGTTCGATTCCCCACATGGGTACAATGTGTGAAGCCCATTTCTGGTGTCAACCGCCGTGATATTGCTGGAATATTGCTAAAAATGACGTAACATCCAACTCACTCACTCACTCACTCACTCACTCTGTATCGGCTACCAATATCTGAGTCTTCCATTGTAACTCTAGTCTGTAACATTTTCTTTAAAGGTCACATGCAACCCAAAAATCAAACATAATTAAAACACAATTATCACTTATTCGTGACATATAATATACATTGCTGGTTATGAAAAAACATATAAACAAAATTATAAGCGTACAATCGCAAATCAAAAGTGCAATATTGTGTACTTGGGTTTACTTCCCAAGAAACGAAGCAGCCGGGATACCGAACCCAGTCAGAGCGGGTTGGTGTGCACTCAAGTGTAACGGCTGGTTCATTTGCAGATGCCCTCACGGCTTATTGTGTGTGTATATGTAGAGATGTTGGGTTTTGTAAATACATGCTCATTTTTTGTGTATAACAACAGACATCATAACATGTCAAGTGTTCAAGTATCACACCTGCCTGTCTGTGTAATTACATAATGTGACAGAGACCGAACTCGGGCCATAAATCAATGCATTTTGTTTATGGTGTATAGCCTGATTGGTGTTAAGTTCAAATTGCATGTGGTCAGTGATAGCAGTTGTGTATTAAATATTGTCATTAGCAGACAGGCAGGCAGACACACAGGTGTCAATAAAACAAGACATTGAGTTTTGTCTGTGACAACGACATATCTATATCACAGTTCGAAATTCTGTCAACGCTAAATAATGACACTGCTTTTAAGTATCGAACTGAGAAAGTGATTCGGTAAGAAGAACGTGAGGTGAAATTATATAAACAGTTAATTTACTGTCATAACATATAAAAAGCTCACGCCTGTGAGATATCAACAAAACATTAGAAAAATAGCTCACACCAAAGCCTTCACCGAGTATTCACCGGACAACCCGCTTCCAAGCTGCGCCAACCTATTTCACTGCGCGCACGTGCTATGAGCGCAGCCCAGCCGTTGAAACCCGTTTTCCCCAGAAAAGTCGGGGGAAAATTAGTGAAACGTTTGAACTCTGATTTCGCGCGGGTTTTTTCATCGCGTTATTTTTCAACTTTATAAGTTGAATTTGCATTTTTGATGATTTGTTTGAGTAAGTCCATACCGAAAGGTATCAGAATCTGCAAAGTTGTGTTTTACGTTGCATGTGACCTTTAACCATTTGCTCAATGTCACATGAACATGCTAAAGGTAAGTGAGCTTTTTAGCATTGTGACCAATGTGGATTCTGTTTCAGTGAAAATACATACAAACCATCTGGAATCACATGAAATGTGGCCAATCACTGCATGAAATGTTTCGGAACATTGTTCCCATGGCAACAAACAGCCATGAACTCTTTCTCCAAAAAGGAGAAGACTCTATTCTGATGCTAGGTGTGGCAGCTCCATATAGTGACAACTCTGACATATAAAAAAACAGACCTGATTTCCATGGTAACTAACTTTAGTGTTTTTCACAATCATACATTGACCACAGCAGCAGTGCTGAGATCCTTTGGCAGAATGGAGACCCAGAAAGGAGCCGACATAAAAACTGTTAATCATGAGATATGTGAATCACAAACCTTGAAGCTGCTGAGCTGTCTTGACGACACACGCCTGGTTATCCCACATACAAACATAGTTTTCCAAGCAGGCATTACATGTGCTGAGACGGTCACAGCCATAGTTCCTGGAATCGCTGCAAGTCTCATTGGTCTAAAGGAAAGGAAAACACTGTCACCGAAAGAAAACAGCACAAAAACAAATACAGTCAAGCACTGTTGTCTCGATATTCATGGGACCAAGCAAAAATATCGAGTTATCCGAACTTTCGAGGCATCCGACCAGGGCACATCATCACATATCACTATGAAAGTAAACTAAACAAAAAGTAGATTTCATCTGTATATTTTTACTCCGGGGATCACAGTCACACACGATACAGCACATATTACTGTGATTCCACAAATCTTGTGAACGCATCTGCCGTTTTCAATTGCGATTACACAAAACCCTCATTGGATTCTCAGTATGTTTTGATTTGAAACAATAATCCGTTATCAGTAGTGTTTAGTGGTAACAGTGAGTACTTCCTAATTAATTCCCTCTTAATTAACCCTAATTAAATAACAAACAAGTGACGCCTTCAACTCAACTAACCCTAATTAGTTTACACTACCGCATCCCTTTGATTCATGTCGCACCCTGTGTAAACGTGTGGAAACAACCTCAGTTCAGAGAGATACTTGCCCATGAAAGGTAGGTGAATATTGAGTAGCTTTTAAATATCGAGTTAAAAGGGTAATTTTGCTTGTTGGGACCATGAATTTATATCGAGATATCCGAAATATCGAGACATAGGTATCAAGTTAAAAGAGCTTGAATAATGATAAATTATGAAGGATTCTGTCGGGACCAAGATGTTATATTGAGACAACCGAGATATCGAGTTATCAGAGTCTGACACAATGGTGCTCGACTGTAATAGATAGAGGGAGAATGCTCTACTCTTGCAACAATGTGTGTTGGGAGTGTTTATATGCAGGGATGTGTGAGTCAATAACACAATACCAGGCTCCGATTTATCAAAATCAATAACATTTAATAAGAGAGTGACAATACAGGCATTCAGAGGTGCTGTGGTGAGTGTAGGTTCAGTTGCACTTACCTTGTCACACGCCTTGGTACACTTGAGATCACACCAGGAGCAGTTGTTGGCGGGGTCGTGAAGACAGCTGCGGCACGATGTGAACACCCCACATTCCATACTCACAGCTGAAGCAGAAGCATGATCACATCAACACCATGGGAATCTACGACATGTTAATCTCGCAGACCTGGGAGATCTAGGGCATGTAAACCTGGCAGTAATGGGAGATCTAGGAGAAGTAAACCTGGCAGTCCTGGGGGATCTAGGACATGTAAACTTGGCAGTCCTGGGGGATCTAGGACATGTAAACTTGGCAGTAATGGGAGATCTAGGAGAAGTAAACCTGGCAGTAATGGGAGATCTAGGGCATGTAAACCTGGCAGTAATGGGAGATCTAGGAGAAGTAAACCTGGCAGTCCTGGGAGATCTAGGACATGTAAACCTGGCAGTCCTGGGAGATCTAGGACAAGTAAACCTGGCAGTCCTGGGAGATCTAGGACATGTAAACCTGGCAGTAATGGGAGATCTAGGACATGTAAACCTGGCAGTCCTGGGAGATCTAGGACAAGTAAACCTGGCAGTCCTGGGGGATCTAGGACATGTAAACCTGGCAGTCTAGGACATGTAAACATGGAGATCTAGGACATCTGGACACCTGGCAGTCCTGGGATCTAGGACAACACTGGCAGTCCTGGGAGATCTAGGACATGTAAACCTGGCAGTCCTGGGAGATCTAGGACATGTAAACCTGGCAGTCCTGGGAGATCTAGGACATGTAAACCTGGCAGTCCTGGGAGATCTAGGACATGTAAACCTGGCAGTAATGGGAGATCTAGGACATGTAAACCAGTCCTGGGAGATCAGACCCTGGTGGGGATCTAGGACATGTAAACCTGGCAGTCCTGGGGGATCTAGGACAAGTAAAGTCCTTGGGGATCTAGGACAAGTAAACCTGGCAGTCCTGGGAGATCTAGGACATGTAAACCTGGCAGTCCTTGGGGATCTAGGACAAGTAAACCTGGCAGTCCTGGGGATCTAGGACAAGTTAACCTGGCAGTCCTGGGGGATCTAGGACAAGGGCAGTAAATCCTAGGACAGTAAACCTGGCAGGGATCTAGGACAAGTAAACCTGGCAGTCCTTGGGGATCTAGGACATGTAAACCTGGCAGTCCTGGGAATCTAGGACAAGTAAACCTGGCAGTCCTTGGGGATCTAGGACATGTAAACCTGGCAGTCCTTGGGGATCTAGGACAAGTAAACCTGGCAGTCCTGGGGGATCTAGGACAAGTAAACCTGGCAGTCCTGAGAGATCTAGGACACGTAAACCTGGCAGTAATGGGAGATCTAGGACATGTAAACCTGGCAGTCCTGAGGATCTAGGACAAGTAAACCTGGCAGTCCTTGGGGATCTAGGACATGTAAACCTGGCAGTCCTGGGGAATCTAGGACAAGTAAACCTGGCAGTCCTTGGGGATCTAGGACATGTAAACCTGGCAGTCCTTGGGGATCTAGGACAAGTAAACCTGGCAGTCCTGGGGATCTAGGACAAGTAAACCTGGCAGTCCTGGGGAGATCTAGGACACGTAAACCTGGCAGTCCTGGGGGATCTAGGACAAGTAAACCTGGCAGTCCTTGGGGATCTAGGACAAGTAAACCTGGCAGTCCTGGGGGATCTAGGACAAGTAAACCTGGCAGTCCTGGGGAATCTAGGACAAGTAAACCTGGCAGACCTTGGGGATCTAGGACTTGTAAACCTGGCAGTCCTGGGGAACTAGGGCAAGTAAACCTGGCAGTCCTGGAGAATCTAGGACAAGTAAACCTTGCAGTCCTCACTGTGCTTGCTATATCCTCACTGAAAATTCAAGGTTTTTCTCAAAACCACAATCAACTATACCAAAATATGTGATGACCAGACACAATAACATAACAAAGAAAAAACTGTTTGGTGTACATAAAAAACAGACATAATGGAAAATTGTATTGACACAGAATTTGTGGACAATACATTAAATAACTGATTAATAAAGAAATATACACAATATATTATGACAATGTTATTACTGAAATGAAAACATGTCAACATTAATACAGTACTGCCAGACTTTCCTATTACATATAATGGCTTATTTCAATTTATCTCGATAAAGAAATTAAATTCTGTCTTGCGTGACAGACCAATGCAATACTAGAAACTAGAAAGGATGAAAAGGTAGGTACAACATACATTGTGAACCTTCACAGCTGGTGGGACTCTTCCGTACACAATTTCCGCCTTCCCACGAACATCGCGAGCCAGACATCACGCTGTTACAGCTGGCGTTGTCTGTGAAGGCGTCACACTCACCTGAAGTAAAAACATCAAAAAAGGTCAGTTTCATAGCAAGATTTGTATGTAAGTTGTGTAATACTGCACTCTCAGCATCCCACCAATATGATGGCAGTCTAAATAATCAGGACTAGACAATCCAGTGATTGACATCATGAGCACTTATCCATACTGTTGTGGTCAATCAAACAAGTCACCACGTCTAACCAACTGCTCCTGTTGGTACACTCTTGCCACCATCAGAATTAATAGAAATTATAGCTGTATCTTTTCCACAATTATTCATAGCTTTCTCATATATTAATAAATATTTACAGTTGCTGGACTTCCAAGAATGCTTTTCCCGAAACGTATGCAGATCTGACTGTGGACTGACAATATCCCTACACAAACAGCTCATATGCGTGGGTTTCCACTGAAAATATACCGTGAGGGTTTAAAGGCAAGAGTTTGTACCTGGGTCGAACCTGATGAGATCGTTCCTCATCACACCGCTGAATCCCCCAAACAAGTATACAGAACTGGAACAAAGTCAAATGTTGGTCACAAGCTTTACATCTTATAAATCCTTACAATAAAAAGACTGTTACCATAGCAACAGTACATTTTCTGGTGATGAGTATTAGTGTGGCGCTCTGTTTGTTTGTAAATAATGAAGAATTGAATCCACAGAAAGTGGTAACACAGGTTATATTTAGGATAACACTTTCTCAGTAAAGCACAAATTCTTGTATTTTATTAGGTCGAGATATGGGATTTGAACCCTCACTCTCAGTAAGGCACATAAACACCAGCACACCTGGTCAGGCATGAGCATCATATATACACCAGTGAGGGATATCCTGAGCATCATATACACCAGTGATATCATGAGCATCGTATACACCAGTGATATCATGAGCATCGTATACACCAGTGATATCATGAGCATCGTATACACCAGTGATATCATGAGCATCGTATACACCAGTGATATCATGAGCATTGTATACACCAGTGATATCATGAGCATCGTATACACCAGTGAGGGATATCATGAACATCGTATACACCAGTGAGGGATATCATGAGCATCGTATACACCAGTGAGAGATATAATGAGCATCACATACACCAGTGAGTGATATCATGAGTACCATGCTGTCCGGTTATAAGGACCTGTAAATCAAGTCACCAAGCCTGACCACTTGACCCATTAGATACCTCCAATAAGCCCAGATTACTGGGAACATTATCTCAACAAGATTTGCAGGTGACTGATTTGGGATCAACATTTCTCTGAAGAATATTTCGGTTGATTGTTGGCAATTTCAGCCACCATACCAGTTGTTAGATGTAAAGAGAGTGGGATTTGAAACTCACCCGTCCTTGACCACCATACTCTGCCCATATCTACTGATCTCATCCTTCAGCTGTGGCGTCGGCAGGTGGTGCCAAGTGTTGCATGCTGGAGCACAATGTCATGTAACAATCAAATATAACACAACGTCATTGTAACACCATTTAATATAACATAATGTATTGGAACACAATGTAATGTAACAATCAAATCTAACAAAACGTCATTGTAACACCATGTAATATAACATAATGTATTGGAGCACAATGAAATAAAACAAAGTAATATAACACAATGTAATGTGACAATGAATTATAACACAATGACATAGTGGTCTTCAGAGTAGGAATGAGTGAGTGAGTTGGGTTTTACTCAGCTTTATTCCAGCTTTATTTCAGCAATATTCCAGCAACATCACGGCAGGGGACACCAGAAATGGGCATCACACATTGTACCCATGTGGGGAATCGAATGTGACACCATGTCATATAGCACAATGTAACGTGACACAATGAATTATAACACAACAACACAGTGGTCTTCAGATTAGGAACACACTCACTGAGGTCATAGGCCATGAAGTCTGAGGAGTAGCACTTGGCACCGTAGCTGACGGATGTGTCGTTGTGGGTGTTACCGCCAAATACCAGCATCAAACCATTCATTATGACAGCAGAGTGTAGATAGCGTGGCGACCCACTGTTCCGTAGAATCGTCCTGGAAAACATAAAGAATATAAAGAGACAGGCCTGTATGTCAATGTACCAGTAATACACCGGTGTCATATTGCATCTGTATGACTGCAGCCTGTATATACTTAAACTTGGACCAGACAATCCAGTGACTGACAACCTGAACATGGATCTATACACGACATGCAAGCACGACGGACCAGCCATTGGCTGACAATGGTACCAGGAGTTTCATGAAGCATAATTAAATAAAAACATGATAATTTAATGACATACCATTTTTTTAATTCCGGATCATATGAGTAGAGCATGTCGGTAAGGTTGTAGCTTGACTGGCTCCCTGACTGGTACCCCCCAAATACATAGATCTTCCTGGTGTGGGAGTCATACACGCTGGTGTGGCCATATCCCCCGCGAATAGAAGCACCAATTGTGTCTGCTAGACTCCATGAATCATTGGCTGCAAACAAAAGGTGAAATGTGAAAAAGACAGGTACTAATGTCCCTGAAATAGCATAGTAAGGATGTCGTTATTCACACACTATGAAAATCCCAAATATTTCAGTGAACTAACAGAAACATAATCTAGATGGTTTGCAACTATATAGTTATGCTCTTTGAGACGAAATATTCATTCACATTGCCATACCTGGACTTCAGCACTTGTCAAAATCTGTATGGATTTCAAAACATGTAGCATTGCTTTTCTATCCAACAGAGTATTTAGTTCCTCTAACTCACAGTAACAATCTTCTTGAAGTTGTATATCTATAAAAGTAGTCCTCATCCTTCATCTACCCAACTTCTAGAATGCCAATCAAAGAAAACAAGAATACAAAATACTCTTTATGAATATGTCTACTAGTTATGATTACGTCAAATGTGTTGGAGTGTATACAGCAAAGTGAATGGAGAGTATTTAAAGGTTTTTAAGATCTGCTCCAGAAATGAGCACTACCACCAAATTCAGTTGAAGCCGAACTTGTTGCCATGGAAATGCAACAAGATGACATCCTCATAGTCACAGCCTAAGTCATGTTTCCATGGAAACCACAAAAAATAAAATTCATATCTAAACCCCAAAAGGCACATCTAGGGATCATGCTTGATATGTGTACCAAGTTTGATGAAGCTAGCATGTATAGTTTAGGAGATCTGCTCCGGACAAGATGACATGCTCATAGCCACAGCATAAGTCATGTTTCCATGGCAACAGCAAAAAATAAAATTTGCATCTGGGTTTAACCTCCAAAAGGCACATCTAGGGATCATGCTTGATATGTGTACCAAGTTTGGTTAAGCTATCACAAATAGTTTAGGAGATATGCTTCGGAAAAAGTATGACGGATGCATGGACGGACAGAAAAAATCGATGGCTATATCCCCAAACTTCGCATGCTAGGGGATAATGCTCTTCTTACTTAGTATTTTAGAGTGTCAAGGAAGCAGTCACATAATATGTTGTGATATCCCCCTCAAGTGTTTTGTGCGGGGGATAACAATCTTCTTACTTAGTATTTACAGTGTCATGAAGCAGTCACATAATATGTTGTGAAAGTTATAAGTGTTTGTCGTTTTCAAATTCACATCCATATATATTCATATTTCATATTATACTGTACTGTCCTGTGCTGGCTGCGTTGCGTTGCGTTGCTATGCTTTGCGTTGTGAATTACAACAATACAACTAACATACCCATATCATATATCTGTACTTTGTTGAGGTAACCATACAGGGGGCTATAACCAAAGATGACGTGTATCTTCCCATCATGCACATGGGCAGTGTGGCCGAGACACGCGGTACTCGGAGGCCGTCAGGTTGGTCCACATCTTGGCGGTGATGTCGTACACCCAGTTCTCACTGACAGGGATGCCGTCCACCACACCTCCATACATAAACAGCTTCTGCAACAACAGTGTCATTAGCAAATGTAAACAAACATCCACATAGGTCTGTTAGTAACCATGACGAACAGAACTGTATAAGTTGCTTGTTTGGTGTATATCGCCACAGTCAGCAATATTCCAGCTCTGGCATCAGTCTGTAAATAATCAAGCCTGGACCAGACAATTCAGTGATTATGACTGCATAAGTGAGCGAGTAAAATTTCCCATCAGCAATATTTGTATTTACTTAAACAAGCCCAGGTAATTATGTTGGTGAGTAAGTTTAGTTTTACGCCACACTCAGCAATATTCCAGCTATATGACGGCAGTCTGTATATAATTGAGTCTGGACCAGACGATCCAGTGATCAACATCATGAGCATCGATCTACGCAACTGGGATACAATGACATGTCAACCAAGTCAGCGAGCCTGACCACCCGATCCCCTTAGTTGTCCCTTACGACAAGCATGGGGGCAATCATGTACATAACACACATGTATGTAAGCTGGTATTACCTGGTTCTGATACAGAACAGTGGAGTGTCCGTATCTCGGGGGAGGAGCATCCCCTACCACTGCAGCTGGGCTCCAGCTCTTGCTTGTGAAGTCATACCTGCAAACACAAACATGGTTGATGTTCAGCGCTACCTGAATTAGTCACAGAGATGTGAGTGAGTGAGTTTAGTTTTATGTTGCTTTTAGCAATATTTCAGCAATATCACAGCGAGGGACACCAGAAATGGGCTTCACACATTGCACTCATGTGGGGAATCGAACCCGGGTTTTTGGTGTGACAAGCTAACGCCTTAACAACTGGGCTACCCCACCGCCCCCACATATGTCAGACTAATCAGTCAAGTAACAAAAGTAATTTCAAACGAAACAATAATACTGTTAGAGCACCGTCATGTAGATTTTGCTTCGACATTTTTGTTAGTCCTAAAAGACATTAAAACATCATAAATTGATCATGTGAGAGTACTTCAGAAATTACCTGTTTTTCAGAATGACAACTCAGTGTTTCTAGTTGTACATGTAATTAGATACCTGTCTACACCTACATATAGTGTAGATAACATGCCTTCAATGTTGAAAGACCTCTACAACAGTTTTCCATCCCTGAAACGGCCATGAAGCCATGAAACCAGCTCAGAAGCAGGAGTAACAAACATACTTCTTGAGATTTTCGTAGTTGTAGTCGTTCAGGCTGTAGCCGCCCACAACCCACATGGTCTTGTCGTCAACGAGGGCAGAGTGAGAGGCCGACCCTGACGGTGTAGAGTTCGTCTGTAGAGTGGACCACACGCCATCCTGTCGGGTCAGGCTGCAGTCTTCACCTGTAGGGGGAGCCACACACATTAGTACACTAGCACTGTACACAACAGATGCTCGTGTGACCTACGTTTTCAGAGTGGGTGTACTGAGTCATACTAATCACCTCTCACATCTTGTTAGAACAAGATACAAAATTGTTTCACTTTATCATTTTATACGTTGTTTACCTGTGTAACGGCATGAAATCAGAAGGCATTTGGAATCATACATATTTCATCAATGACAGGCCCAATTTACATTTTTCCTGTCACCTGTCAGTAATTACAGGTATACAGAAACACCTGTACTGTCATGGAAATGGTATACAACTAACTCTCATCCTGGCTCACTCACCATGGCAACCAGCATCATACACAGACATAATCCACACCGTGGTCAGACACACTCATCTTCTCAACCAGTACTGCACACAAACACACTACTGACACAGGCACCCTGTGTGGAATACTCCCTAACAAGCACTGGCCATTCCGACATCATCAACACAGAGATCCAATAGATACAGATCCAATCCTAACCCAATCCAATCCATGTCAATTCTAACCCTGATCTTTAACGGCACTGACCTGACTTCCGGCACACTTACCGCGGTAGTCAGCATCGCACACGCACATGTTGCTGATACAGGTTCCGTTGCTGGAGCAGTTGTTGGGACAAACAGCTGTCTCACATGCACTTCCTGTCCAGTTGGCGTCACAGGAACAGATCTCGTTGATGCACTGCCCATTCCCAGAGCATCCCCGTCGACAGTCACCGATACTATGCAATACAATATAGCCAGGTTAGCATGTTACTACTGACTAATATCTGCTGTTTCCCTGTCTCCAAAACTATGAAAAGGCCTCTTGTGGGGGTGGGTGGTGGTGGTGGTGGGATGAGTGAGTGAGTGAGAATAAGTTTCTGTCTTAGGCAATATTGCAGCGATCTCACAGTGTGCGACCATGTGGAGAATTAAATTCTTGTATTTGGTGTACTTAAGTCACCGATACTATGCAATACAATATAGCCAGGTTAGCATGTTACAACTGACTAATCTCTTCTGTTTCACTGTCCCAAAAACTATGAAAAGGCCTCTTGTGGGGTGGGTGGTGGTGGTGGGGGGATGAGTGAGTGAGTGAGAATAAGTTTCTGTCTTAGGCAATATTACAGCGATCTCACAGTGTGCGACCATGTGGAGAATTAAATTCTTGTATTTGGTGTGAGTGGTAAACACTTTAACCATAACACTACTGGTGTGGCCCTGATTTCTCATTCAGGTACCCTAATGTCATGATTGTTACAGGTAATTACACAAATATCCTCTTTTTCCTTATGGGGTACTTAAGGGGTGATAACATCCTCAAATGGAAGGAGAGTTTGAAGTTTAACCTTCTGAACAGACCTTCATTATTCTTATCCTGCTGTTTACTATTCCACCTAAAATCCATTTTAAAGCAATTGTTGATTTACCATCAGGATAAACCAACATATTGGGAGTCAAGACAACAAACACCTCAAAAGGCTTTTATACCCTTGTTTTACAGATTTTATAAAAATGTCCTATTTACTTAAACGAACGGTTGGATGAGAAAAATGTTACCATGTGTTCTATGGACAAACAATTAACATCATGAATCTAACCTAGTCTGTCTCACAGTCCTGGAACCACACTATTTTCCATACTGCCTAGCCCTCCCTGCAATGCTAAAGTCCTAAATGAAGCAATCCCATCTCACCGAAGTCCTTTTCAATTCAATTGGGTTATTTGTTACTATCAAAATGATACATTCAGAAAGTAAACTCAAGTCTAGTATCTCGCCCTGTAGCCAAAGATTTGGACCGACTCAAGATTTGGACCGACCCATGAGCTGAGGCAATATGGCTTCCCAATCATTCTGGACTAGAGTTTGAATCATTTACACTTCTGCAGATTCTTGGAGGCAGCCAATGTCAGCTAATATCATAAATATGTACATAAGATTGTAAATCTTGGGAGGTGCACCTATGGAATGTACAACTTTTCTGTATATAATGCAAAGGCTTGTCTTTGATCAGGACAACAGGATTTATAAGGACAACTGTTAACTTTCCATATTGTTAGGGTTGATGTAATCTACGAGGAAATCCCAAGCCTGACGCGGCCCTTCCTCAGTCAGTTGAGGATATGTGCTGGGTTGCCACTAGTCACGCAGCCATAAGCCAGTTGAAGCACTCCTCAAGTAGGCTGGCACTGATATAGGAGACAGGTATACAGCTTCAGTCTGTAGGACAGCCCTGGGAAACCTTCCTCCTTAGTTCCTTCTTTATTGTTTTATTGTTTTATTGTTCTCTTTGTGGACGTGACGTCGTTTAGTTTAGATTATCCTCCCTTGTACGATCCAATGTGAGTGAGTGAGTGGGTTTGGGTGGTTGGGTGGGTAACTGCATAAGTGAGTGGATGACTAAGTGAGTGAGTGACTGACTGCATGAGTGAGTGGTTGGCTGTATGATTGATTGATTGAGTGAGTGAGTGAGTGGGAGGCTAAATGATCGATCAAGTGAGCATGGTGAGTGAATGAGTGGGTGGGTGGTTGGGTGGGTAACTGCATAAGTGAGTGAGTGAGTGAGTGACTGCATGAGTGAGTGGTTGGCTGTATGATTGATTGATTGAGTGAGTGAGTGGGAGGCTGCATGATCAATCGAGTGAGTGAGTGAGTGAGTCAGTCAGTCAGTGGGGTGTTTGTGTCACTGTGTGTGTGATTGCATAGTGAGTGAGTGAGTGAGTGAGCCAGCGAGCAAGCTGAGTTTAATACCACTTTGAATAGTATTTCAGATATTTCATTGCATGTCAACAGTACATAGGAAGAAGGGTCCAAGCAACACAGTTTGCAGGGATTACAACTTGACAAGAACCTACTCCCTGGGAATCATGGTGACAGACCAATGAATCATACATTACCAGGGAAATCTGGGAACGAGAACTAATGATCAGCTATAGGAAGCAACCCGATGTCCCCCATGGACCTCCTTGTAAGGATACATTATAAGTTGTTCACTGGTCTCGAGGGTGACATAGGTTGATGTACCCTTGATGTTTATTTATTTGTTTAAAGAAACATCGAGGGTACATCAATCCATGGTCCCCGAGGGACCAGTGAACAACGTATTTATCTTACCGAACACCTCAATGGTAAGTTTGAACTGTTTGAAGCACGTGTATTTGATCATAGTATGGAGTACCAAATGACAAGACGACAAGAAAAACAAATTTAGAATTATCTCCCTTCCATCGATTTGCATTCGCAAAACATCGGTAATTTCTGTACATCATACATGATCCAATGTTATTTGAGATAAAGAATTACTACTACAGGGTACCAAATGAGTTCGGCATTTACAGCTGGGTACATAGAAAATGTTACTTGCTTGAAAGCGGGGTACATTGAAATTAATAGAAGAGCACTCAGCCAATCAGAAGATGACATTTATGTGTGAGGCAAGATAATGCTTAATGATCTTCTTGTGGATACGAAATCCTACACTGTGTATATCTTGTGACGAAAAGACATGAAACTTAGAGAACAACCCAGTGAAATGATTTGTGCTACATAAGTCGTTCAACTGCGAACATATATATACTGACATCGAGAGTAATAGTATGAGCAATCATCCCTAGTCGCTGTCTGAAGAATATACTGGAACATTGTTCCATCACACCAACCAAACACGTGTCCAAAACCTTAGAGTACAACTCAAATCTACAATGATTTGGCAAGTCTAGATTGCACTTGGAATTTAAAAATTGTTTAAAAGAAGACAGCTTTATTTCCGGGACTAATGTCAGCCTATCCATGTACCTGTATGTTATGTTGAACCCAGCCATGGTGTAGGCAGCATCGCTGTAGAAGTGGATATAGATGTACGGCTGGCGGATGCGAGTGATGAAGTCCACCTCTGTGTAGGCCTTGTCTTTAGTGAGCAGCAGGCCACTGTAATGCAATGGGCGTGGTCAAAACATGCCATTTCTCATGAAGTAATTCTATAATATTCATAACAGTACTTTCAGCTGGTTGATAATAGGAGAGGGAATGCTGTATAGACAGTTATAACCTACCTGTAGCCCACCAGAAGGGGAGAGAATCCTGTATTGTCTGTTATAACCTACCTGTAGGCTGCCAGAAGGGGAGAGAATCCTGTATTGTCTGTTATAACCTACCTGTAGGCTGCCAGAAGGGGAGAGAATCCTGTATTGTCTGTTATAACCTACCTGTTAGTCGCCAGAAGGGGAGAGAATCCTGTATTGTCAGTTATAACCTACCTGTAGGCTGCCAGAAGGGGAGAGAATCCTGTATTGTCAGTTATAACCTACCTGTAAGTCGCCAGAAGGGGAGAGAATCCTGTATTGTCAGTTATATCCTACCTGTTGGCTGCCAGAAGGGGAGAGAATACTGTATTGTCTGTTATAACCTACCTGTAGGTCGCCAGAAGGGGAGAGAATACTGTATTGTCAGTTATAACCTACCTGTAGGCTGCCAGAAGGGGAGAGAATCCTGTATTGTCAGTTATAACCTACCTGTAGGTCGCCAGAAGGGGAGAGAATCCTGTATTGTCAGTTATAACCTACCTGTTGGCTGCCAGAAGGGGAGAGAATACTGTATTGTCTGTTATAACCTACCTGTAGGCTGCCAGAAGGGGAGAGAATCCTGTATTGTCTGTTATAACCTACCTGTTGGCTGCCAGAAGGAGAGAATCCTGGAGAGAATACCTGTATTGTCAGTTATAACCTACCTGTAGGTGTAAGCCAGAAGGGGAGAGAATACTGTATTGTCTGTTATAACCTACCTGTAGGTCGCCAGAAGGGGAGAGAATCCTGTATTGTCTGTTATAACCTACCTGTAGGTCGCCAGAAGGGGAGACAATCCTGTATTGTCAGTTATAACCTACCTGTAGGCTGCCAGAAGGGGAGAGAATCCTGTATTGTCTGTTATAACCTACCTGTTGGCTGCCAGAAGGGGAGAGAATCCTGTATTGTCAGTTATAACCTACCTGTAAGTCGCCAGAAGGGGAGAGAATCCTGTATTGTCAGTTATATCCTACCTGTAAGCCGTCAGAAGGGGGAGAGAATCCTGCATTGTCAGTTATAACCTACCTGTTGGCTGCCAGAAGGGGAGAGAATACTGTATTGTCTGTTATAACCTACCTGTAGGCTGCCAGAAGGGGAGAGAATACTGTATTGTCAGTTATAACCTACCTGTAGGTCGTCAGAAGGGGAGACAATCCTGTATTGTCTGTAATAACCTACCTGTAGGCTGCCAGAAGGGGAGAGAATACTGTATTGTCAGTTATAACCTACCTGTAGGTCGCCAGAAGGGGAGACAATCCTGTATTGTCAGTTATAACCTACCTGTAGGCTGCCAGAAGGGGAGAGAATACTTTATTGTCAGTTATAACCTACCTGTAGGTCGTCAGAAGGGGAGAGAATCCTGCATTGTCAGTTATAACCTACCTGTTGGCTGCCAGAAGGGGAGAGAATACTGTATTGTCTGTTATAACCTACCTGTAGGTCGCCAGAAGGGGAGAGAATCCTGTATTGTCTGTTATAACCTACCTGTTGGCTGCCAGAAGGGGAGAGAATCCTGCATTGTCAGTTATAACCTACCTGTTGGCTGCCAGAAGAGGAGAGAATACTGTATTGTCAGTTATAACCTACCTGTAGGCTGCCAGAAGGGGAGAGAATCCTGAATTGTCAGTTATAACCTACCTGTAGGCTGCCAGAAGGGGGAGAGAATGTTGTATTGTCTGTTATAACCTTCCTGTTAGCCGTCAGAAGGGGAAGGAATCCTGTATTGTCAGTTATAACCTACCTGTAGGCTGCCAGAAGGGGAGAGAATCCTGAATTGTCAGTTATAACCTACCTGTAGCCCACCAGAAGGGGGAGAAAATGCTGTTTTGTCTGTTATAACCTACCTGTTAGCCGTCAGAAGGGGAAGGAATCCTGTATTGTCAGTTATAACCTACCTGTAGGCTGCCAGAAGGGGAGAGAATCCTGTATTGTCTGTTATAACCTACCTGTAGGCTGCCAGAAGGGGAGAGAATCCTGTATTGTCTGTTATAACCTACCTGTTAGCCGTCAGAAGGGGAAGGAATCCTGTATTGTCAGTTATAACCTACCTGTAGGCTGCCAGAAGGGGAGAGAATCCTGTATTGTCAGTTATAACCTACCTGTAGGCTGCCAGAAGGGGAGAGAATCCTGAATTGTCAGTTATAACCTACCTGTAGGCTGCCAGAAGGGGGAGAGAATGTTGTATTGTCTGTTATAACCTTCCTGTTAGCCGTCAGAAGGGGAAGGAATCCTGTATTGTCAGTTATAACCTACCTGTAGGCTGCCAGAAGGGGAGAGAATCCTGAATTGTCAGTTATAACCTACCTGTAGCCCACCAGAAGGGGAAGAAAATGCTGTTTTGTCTGTTATAACCTACCTGTTAGCCGTCAGAAGGGGAAGGAATCCTGTATTGTCAGTTATAACCTACCTGTAGGCTGCCAGAAGGGGAGAGAATGCCGAGTCCCCATCGTGTATATAGAGGTGGTCCCAGCCACATTCCGTGGCGAACTGGTGGAACTTGAGTCTGATGGTGGTGTTGTTGCTGTTGGTGTTGATCAACCAGCTGCACTTGGTGTCCAGCGTGTAGTTTCCCTCACCATCATATATAGAGCCTTCCGTGCCATTAAAACTGAAACACAATGTTCCTCTGTTACTGGTACCGAGGAGCATGAGGTGAGTGAGAGAATGAATTTAGTTTTAAGCAGCACTCAGCAATATTCCAGCTATATGGCGGCGGTCTGTAAATAATCAAGTCTGGACCAGACAATCCAGTGATCAACATCATGAGCATCAATCTACGCATTTGGGAACCGATGACATGTGTCAACCAAGTCAGTGAGTCTGACGACCCAATCCCGTTAGTCGCCTCTTACGACAAGCATGGGTTACTGAATATCAATTGTAACCCGGATCTTCACAGGACTGAGCATAAGGTAGCAAGCAGTAGTACTTATTATCTGGCCACACATTAACTGTTATCTATATCTATATACAGTTGTGTTCTTTTGTAGTGTACATTGCATTAGGTTTAAATCCACCTTGAACAGTATTTCTGTCACATCATTGCCTGTCAGCGTGAGGGGAAAGCTCCCGATGATGCAGGATTGATATACCACTCCATCTGTCATAAGGGTTAGATGTATGTTTTACTTTTACACAAAACACATTTTAATATCAAGTGTATATTTAAACATATCTGATTTCAATAACTATTTATCAGGAGTAAATATATCCTAAATTAGAACAGGTGAAATTGATTATTACCAGTTCTGTCAGTTTCAATGGGACGCAACTTCAGCATATTGGCTATTTAAGCAGGATTGATCCAAGTTACTTTCCCTTCTGTCCACTACCTAATTCCATAGCAGTTATATTTAGATTTAATTGAATAATTCCATGGTCTAGACTTAGGAATAATCAAAAGAACTTTGAGCCTCCCTTAAAGGTCACATGCAACGTAAAACACAACTTTCATAACCAGCAATGTATATTATATGTCATGAATAAGTGATAATTGTGTTTTAATTATGTTTGATTTTTTGATTGCATGTGACCTTTAAGATAAAAGAGAAGCTAGGCTTCTGCAGCTGAAAGCTGCACACAAACAGTTTTGCTGGACTGTTAAAGGTCACATGCAACCAAAAAATCAAACATAATTAAAACACAATTATCACTTATTCATGACATATAATATACATTGCTGGTTATGAAAAAACATATAAACAAAATTATAAGCGTACAATCGCAAATCAAAAGTGCAATATTGTGTACTTCGGTTTACTTCCCAAGAAACGAAGCAGCCGGGATACCGAACCCAGTCAGAGCGGGTGGGTGTGCACTCAAGTGTAACGGCTGGTTCATTTGCAGATGCCCTCACGGCTCATTGTGTGTGTATATATATAGAGATGTTGGGTTTTGTAAATACATGCTCATTTTTTGTGTATAACATTTTGCAATCAACAGACATCATAACATGTCATGTGTTCAAGTATCACACCTGCCTGTCTGTGTATTTACATGATGTGACAGAGACCGAACTCGGGCCATAAATCAATGCATTTTGTTTACGGTGTATAGCCTGATTGGTGTTAAGTTCAAATTGCATGTGGTCAGTGATCGCAGTTGTGTATTAAATATTGTCATTAGCAGACAGGCAGGCAGACACACATGTGTCAATAAAACAAGACATTGAGTTTTGTCTGTGACAACGACAGATCTATATCACAGTTGGAAATTCTGTCAACGCTAAATAATGGCATTGCTTTTAAGTATCGAACTGAGAAAGTGACTCGGTAAGAAGAACGTGTGGTGAAATAGACAAATGAAATTATATAAACAGTTTACTTACTGTCATAACATATAAAAAGCTCGCGCCTGTGAGATATCAACAAAACATTAGGAAAATAGCTCACACCAAAGCCTTCACCGAGTATTCACCGGACAGCCCGCTTCCAAGTTGCGCGAACCTATTTCACTGCGCACGTACTATGAGCGCAGCCCAGCTGTTGAAACCCGTTTTCCCCACAAAAGTCGGGGGAAAATTAGTGAATCGTTTGAACTCTGATTTCGCGCGGGTTTTTTCATCACGTTATTTTTCAACTTTATAGGTTGAATTTGCATTTTTGATGATTTTTTTTCGGTAAGTCCATACCGAAAGGTATCAGAATCTGCAAAGTTGTGTTTTACGTTGCATGTGACCTTTAACTTAGATTTTAAACTGTAAGGGATCTGACTGTAGAGCATACAGACATGCTACTAGCTGTCACAATTCTCCATGTCATATTCATGTTGGACTGATAAAAACTGCAAAAAATACTTTAAAATATTAATTCAAAACTAGAGTTTGTGAATACTGTATTCGGATGAAACCACACAAATACGTATTCCCTTTTAATCTTGCACATGTTTCACATAAACCATTACAGTAGTGGACTGTTACATGATCTGAAGAACTGAGGTCAGATCACGCAACCTTCCTCTCATTTACACCCAATATGGTGGCATGTGTTCCGTTACAGGTTGCAGGCCACAAATCAGGTGAAGTCATCCTGGTTGCTGAGGGTAACTGGCTGGATCACCATGAGGAGCAGTTGGCCCAGAGTTTCTTGGGCTTCGGGTCTGCCCCATACTGAATAACACGTAGCACTTGCAGCACATTATGTCACCTTAGGTAAAGAACTTTGTTCGAAATATGCCTGTGTTCACCCAGCAGTGACTGGGATCAGACGCTACTGTGACTGTTAACCTTTGATTGTGTCATGGGTAGCTAGGGTTGTATACTCCCTAGGGTGTTGAGAATGGGAATTGTGTGCACAGTGAGATACCAAGTGATGTAATAATGATGTATTATCATAAACATTCATTTGATATTCACTTGATGAACGGGATGGTGGGGATATCCTAGTGGTTAAAGCGTCCGCTCGTCATGCTAAAGACCCGGGTTTGATTCCCCATATGGGTAAATGTGTAAAGCCAATTTATGGTGTCCGCAAACATGATATTGATATTGCTGGAATATTGCTAAAAACGGCATAAAACCATACTCACTCATTGATGAATAGAATAAAAAATATATGAATTATTACAATTATCTGTTTAATTGAATGTATTTTAAATGTCTCAGATAACATCTGTTGTCGTGTGACATAACCGGGTCATTAACAAATACAACATGAACACTGTATGCAACACTCAATTTCCCACAGCTGCTTACACGATACGATAAATCTATACAGCTGGTGAATACTTCCAACAAACCAAATCATCAATTTCTTTACAGATACCAGGTCAGCTACCATGACTTGACAAAATACCCGCTTATATAAGCACCATAGCTTTGTTCTTCCTTTTAAGCAATTGGTTTGTCATGTTTTATGAATTGTCACATTCTAGTTATTTGAATATTTATTCAATACATCCTTAAATCATGTTACAAGATTCAATATTTATATGTTGGTATTTCGTGACACTACAAGCTACAACATTTATGACATACAATATCATTGTTGACAGCTGGACATATCTTAATAGTCACAGCATATGAAATATCACTACACACCTCATTATAACACACATTTAAGAGAAATAAATGCAGGCTGTGACAAGGCAAATATTTAGAAACATATGTCCTGAGTTATAAACATAATTTGTTCTGGTACACAAAACAACTGTATTGTCCTTATATAGATGTTTTAGTGAAATACCAGTGTTGTTGTTATAGTGAGGGTGTAAACCTGCGTCACACTGTAACAGCACCTTGAAGCAGTCATAGCTTGCCTTACTAGAACCACACCCACACCCTGTGGTGCAAACACCAGCTTCCTGTCTCAATGTATTAATGTCACACAAACTAACAGGTTCAGGTGCATCATTCAGGGAATTAACACACAATCTGAAACAGGGCTTCAGTAGTTGTAGAAACTGTGTTTTTCAGATATGTATGGCAGCCAAGTGAAGCTTTATTTCAATAGAGCTCACAGCTGGTGGCGAGTCTTGCTTTAGTGAGTCTAATGTTTATATTCTGTGTCAGTTTTATTCCGTCTTACCGTGTTCAGATTGGTAGTCAAGTTGCAGCATTGATTATTGGTTCAGAGCTATAGCCACATCTGACCGGACAACCATCACAGTATTTCTACTAACTGAACAGATCTGGTTGTTTTAGATCAATTTACCCGTGTAGGTCCGGGTTAGAATATTGATCTTCAGTAACACATGCTTGTTGTAAGAGGCGACTAACGGGATTGGGTGGTCAGACTCGCTGACTTGGTTGACACGTGTCATCGGTTCCCAATTGTGCAAATTGATGCTCATGCTGTTGATCACTGGATTGTCTGGTCCAGACTCGATTATTTACAGACCGCCATCATATAGCTGGAATATTGCTGTGTGCGGCCGTAAAACTGTAAAACTAAACTCAACTCACTCACTCACTCAGATCAATTAATTCTTCTGGATTTTCTTACTTATTGGCAGCCAGAATGTCCCTAAGATTTTTTTATATTTTAGGTAACATGGAAAAATGTCCAATTAAAAGTTGTCAAAATCATGTGCTGTTGATCACTGGGTTGTCTGGTCCAGACTCAATTATTTACAGACTGCCATCATATAGCTGTTAATATGAAAATGTCCTACTGCCATTTATCTCCAGCAGAGTCACTGGAAACAACAGTGAACTCGCCTGCAATAGCCAGCCATCCATGCCAAGTTGCTTTTATAATCATAGGTTAATAATGATTGCTCCTGCTAGCTTAGCAGATCCTTTTAATGTTATCATTATTTTGTATAAAATATGTATGTACACAGTCTATCAAATTAAAACACTTTCACACAGTCCTTCCTGCAGCGATTTATTAGTAATGGGATAAAAACAAAATCATAAATTTACCTTTTTAAGTCTACTTATGGGTATAATGAGTACCTACAATTTGAGCAGTACTGGTCACTGGAGAAAATATATCAGTTTTTCTGGCCCTACTACCTACCACATACCAGCAACATAACGATCATTATCACGACCACTGACAATCAATACCTTCTCTACACTGCTGTAATTCTCATATATCTTACTGACACGCAAGTCACCTTTGCATAGCTACCATCTGGTTGCCATAGTTATCTGCAAAAATGGAG